CAAGACAGGAAACTATTCATTCTGACTTGTAAAGTTACTGACAGGATCACGCTAAGGGCCTAATAGTGAAAACTGAACCAAAAGTGCCCCTGTACACCCATATACCTGTCCTTGGGACACGTTTAGTGCAAGCTGCAATTTCATCCTCCTATCCATCTTGCTACATCTTCATTAATTGCTTTTTGCTCATTTTTACATCCTGCCTGCTAATGATTTCTTCTATTCTGTGTTTAGCTGGTACTCCCAGAATATTCCATACACAGCCTATTCTGTATAATGTTTCTTTGTGCGGAAGAATGGTTAACGCTAGGGCTGAACGCACCACTGCTTTTTTATCATATATGGAGGTGAGTACATCCTCTGCCATGCAGCACATCTCAGTTATATCAAAACCCAACCCAACAGGAAATGATGTAAAATCCCCCCAAGCAGGGTCACGGGCAGAAATTAAAACTCAACAGAGGTTGTAACTCCTTACCACTCAATACAAAACTAAAATATAAAGCTCACTTTAAAATAAACCTGTCATAAAAAAATAAGAGGAGTGGTCTACTTCTTAAACTGTTAGTTGCCTGGCATTTTAAAGCTCTGGCTTTGCACTTGACTACCACACTTATATAAGCTTGTTGGACATCCCATTCCAAAACCGAGGTGAAGTGATGTTGGATGAGAAGGTCTGGCTCAAAATTGCCATTTTCATTCATCCCAAAGGTGTTCAGTAGGGTTGAGGTCAGCACTCTGTGCAGGCCACTTGACTTCCTCCACACCAAACTCATCATACCGCGTCTTTATGGATCTGGTATGGTAATGCGTCGCCAAAAGGTTGGAAGTTCACACTCGTCTAAAATGTCTTTGTATACTGTAATATTAACAGTTTCATTCACTGGAAACACCTCAATAATTTGGAGTGGGTTCTCCACATACTGTTGGCCATATAGTACAGGTGTGATGGTCTGGTGTCCTCATACTGTTGGCCATATAGCATAGGGATGATGGTCCAGTGTCCACATACTGTTGGCCACATAGTATAGGGGTGATGGTCTGGTATCCACATACTGTTGGCCATGTAGTATCGGAGTGATGTTCTGGTGTCCACATACTGTTGGCCATATAGTATATGAGTGATGGTCCGGTATCCACATACTGTTGGCCATGTAGTATAGGGGTGATGGTCTGGTGTCCACATACTGTTGGCCATGTAGTATACGGGTGATGGTCCAGTGTCCACATACTGTTGGCCATATAGTATAGGGGTGATGGTCTGGTGTCCATATATTGTTGACTATATAGTATAAGGGTAATGGTCTGTTGTCCATATACTGTTGGTCATATAGCATAGGGATGATGGTCCAGTGTCCACATACTGTTGGCCACATAGTATAAGGGTGATGGTCTAGTGTCCGCATATTGTTGGCTATATAGTATAGGAGTGATGGTCTGTTGTCCACATACTGTTGGTCATATAGCATAGGAGTGATGGTCCAGTATCCACATACTGTTGACCACATAGTATAGGGATGATGGTCCGGGGTCCACATACTGTTGGCCACATAGTATAGGGGTGATGGTCTAGTATCCACATACTCTTGGCCATATAATATAGGGGTGATGGTCCGGTGTCCACATACTGTTGGCCACATAGTATAGGGGTGATGGTCTAATATCCACATACTGTTGGCCACATAGTAAAGGGGTGATGGTCCGGTATCCACATACTCTTGGCCATATAGTGTACAAAATATTCACAAGCAGCATTTCATATTTATAAGAAAAATTATGTTTTAGTCCTGACCATATTATATAAAAGAATCAAATATAGGCAAAACCTCATATTTATAAGAAAAATTATGTTTTAGTCCTGACCATATTATATAAAAGAATCAAATATAGGCAAAACCTCATATTTATAAGAAAAATTATGTTTTAGTCCTGACCATATTATATAAAAGAATCAAATATAGGCAAAACCTCTACATTTAATCTTGAACCATCAACGTACGGAAGTCATTGTCCCAATATTAATATTACTTTTGCACTAACATTTTACTGCATGAAAGCAAACCTTTTATATAATTTTATTGGTTTAATTGCAATGTAAAATGTGCCACGTTTAGACATGATGGCAATTACTAATGTGACATTTAAGCTGCAAACTATCCATTACATTAACATATGCTTCTGTTTCCTTCATTCAGGTATTTTCGTGGCCCAGCTGACAGCTCAGAGTTGGCGTACGACCCGCCTGAAGTAATGAACGCCACTACGCTGAGCTACTGCCAAAAAGAGGCCTGGTGCAAGATGGCATTTTACCTGCTCTCCTTCTTCTATTATCTATACTGGTACATCTGTTACTGTCTGTTATTATTTGTTGTAGATATAGGGCTCTTTAAGCCATGGGCCCTTCTAGCAGAGTAAGGGCCCGCGTTGACGGGCATTTTGTTAATTCCATAAATGCTTCTTTCCTCATAAGCCTGAGATAATCCAAAATTAACTAAATCAGGTCAACTATACCCGCAATTAATTCTGATTGATCTCAGAAGCATCTCAAACTGATGTCGTAACGTAAATTCCATTGTCCATGCCTACTGGACCAGGCCCTAGGGGTCATGTAGCACTTGAGATCTTGTTGTTGTCAATAACTCATTGCTATACAGGACAGTTTCCACGTGGTCCCTCCCCCACTAAGCGGATGAGCCAGGTGTCATTCCCTCGCATGGAGATACTGCCTCATTTCTCTCATTGAGGGTGCGACTAGACATGTGCGATTCGGTTCGTTCCGAAATTCGTTTTGGACGAATTTTCGGAGATTCGGATGCATCCGAATTACAGCTAAGACGAATGCAAACGAATCAGAAATTCCCGATTTCCCAAAATTCGTTTTTTTTTTCTTTGCTTTTGAATTGGCATTCTCCTAACATTCCTACCAGATCTAAAGGGTCTGGTATGAATTGGGGGGCTTTTTTTTTTTCTTCATATTCTGCAGACTGTTAAAACATTTTTTTTTTTTTTCCCCTAATGTCATTTTTCTGCAATGAAATTCCTTATTTGACGAATTTCGTTGCAGCAAAATGACATTTGAAAAAAAAATGACTTTTTTTTTTTTTTACAGTCTGCAGAAGATGAAAAAAAAAAATGTCAACAGATGGGTGGAGCGAGCCATGACGTCACGGCTTGCTCTGCCCATTTGACATTCTTAGCTGTCAAATGCTGCATATTGCATTCATATATATCAAATGCTACCAAGGTTAAAGGTATAGAGACAATAGTGTAGTGGTTAACGTACAGGCTTGCCATTGTGAAGGTCGCAGGTTCTAATACAGGGCAGTGAGAGTAATAGATAACATTTTTTTTCTTTGCGTTTGAATTGGCATTCTCCTAACATTCCTACCAGACCTAAAGGGTCTGGTATGAATTGGGGGGGAACCTCAGGCTTTTTTTTTTTTTTTCATCTTCTGCAGACTGTAAAAAAAAAAAATTTTTTTGCTGCAACGAATTTCGTCCATAATCCGAATCCGAAAAACGAAACTAAACTAAACAAATTTTTTTTCTTTGTTTCAAAACGAAACGAAACTAAACACATTTTTTGCTGGTGTACATGTCTCGGTGCGACACCATGGAAACTTCTCTCTGTCCTTTCTAGCTAACCTGTGGTTGGCAGGTTTGTCATTACCAAGAGGACGGCAAATGTGATATGGCCCTAAAAGGTAAATTCTTACCTTTTAAATGCTAAACTAAAGAGCATCTGTAGATCGGGGAGTGAGCGAACTTCCATCCTGTCCTCGATCATCTCCCTGTAGAGAGTGGTGACTGTCACATACGGCTCCCTGCACCTCCCTCCCCGCTCCGATCATCCAGCACTGACTGGAGGAACGAATGGGGGAGCGGGCGGGTACAGCTGGCTCTGCCTCTAGATAGGCAGAGCCAGCTGTCACTCACGCAGCTGGGGGGATCTCGACAGTAATGTCGGGATCCGTCCCGGCTGCGGCAGTCTCAGTATACCGCGATACCGAGCTTTGGGTCACGAGGAGGACCCTAGTATATGTCCTCCCGTGACCCAGGGGAGAACTATGGGGAAAAACACTGGCCCCATAGTTCTCCTTTAAGTGAATGGGCCAGGAGCCGGAGTTTTATGTAAATAAAATCCCTTTTATGTAACAAGTTCTGCCTTCCCTCTTCCCATCACTTTCAACAACTTCCTGGTTTCCCCGTGTACTTTGTGTCTCTTTCCCTGTTGCTTGATCTGATGCAATCTTGATTTCTCAAGACTACATAGCCTATCATGCATTGCTTCCAGCAAGCAATGATAATGTCAGTGCATTGAGGAAGCACATACTATGGGCATCTTCAAGATGGACATGGTTATTAGGAGTGGGGCAGAACGTTTGCAAATTCAATGTAGAAAAACATATTTATTTTTAGTTTTTGACCACAGATGTCTTTTAAGTGCTTGGCATTTACAATCTATAGATTAACATTCTGAGCCACAGTTGAGGATATTCACCTACATTGCAGCTGTAAACTATGAGTGCATACCAGTGCGTGCTACAATTCTAAAACCGCACTGTCCCTGACAGCCACAGATGTCTGACTAATGTTCAGAAACCATCAGCCAATCATACCAGCTTATCATAACCCATATGTATTAGTTCTGTCTGCTTTAATATACCCAACGTAGAAGCAGATATGTAGATCTGCTATAGAATTTTCTAAAATCTGTATAGCTGACAGGTTAGGGGGTCTTTTTCCCTCAACACAACTGGAGTTTCACTTTAATTGAATGTGATAGGAAGTCTTGCGGATTTTCACTAACAAAATCTTCTTCCTATTTCTTCAGTATGGTATACACGTTAATGAGTTCCTAAGGAAGAAGGAGCCGAGGACCGAGAAAGTCATTCCAGCTGAAAATAAACACTTGTCTGGCTATTGTATGCTGGTGGACATTACCGAACCATCGGCAACACTGCGTAGACAGCCCCTGCTGGATGATACTCTGGAGCCCTGGAGATCCAGCTAAAATGCCTGTGGAAGGTATTAAGCAATCTGTGTGGATTATACATTTCTCATGCACAGTTGCTGGGCTGATCCACTGCTAACTGGGAAGATGGAGGCTATAAAGCCTTACGTACTGCACATCGGAGTTTATTTTTCAACTGCAAGTTCCATATCATGTCAGCGATTGTTGGCGCCGGACAAGATGGTCGACAGTGACATTTTACCTTTTCTGGATTATTGCTTCAAAAAGGCACAATTTTGGGAATATGGATTTGGTGGACTACATACAGGTCCTCAAAATGTAAGGGGACCTACAGTTGAAGTTTAAGTCGGAACGTCCAGACTTCATCGTGACGGGGGAATTTTAGTCTATACCATGTTGTTTGCTACTATGATGTAATGCATATCATGTTATCAAAAAGAAGCTACAATAATTAGGTATCTTAGATGCCACTGACCTTCCAGAGTTATAAAAGTGACTTAGCCTATTGATTATTGGTCTTTGTGTGTTTGCAGTAAAGCCGCAGAAAAAGTTCCATGTCTCTGCTCCCTAGCAGCTGTCCAAGTTCGCATAGGGAAAGGCAAGTTTCTAAATGACCTTGGGGTATGGTGTACTGGACTAAGCTGCCTGACCTCTACCTTCCACGAAAGAAGGGAAGGGAGGTTGAAAGCATGAAAACCGGAACCATGGACTGTAATCATGGATGGATTATCACCTTCATATTTAAAGCAAACCTGTCATAAATTATTAATTTGAAAGTATATCATCTCACTGGTTACTTTTGATACACAGTTACTGGTACATGCCTCTACTTTTCTTAAAGAGACCATGTTGCTATAGAGAAGCTTTAAAAGCATGCCATACCTGTAAAAGAACAAAGGACATATTTACCTTTCCTGCTGCACGTGCTGCCGAATGGTGCTCCAATGCAAAGAAATCTTCTGCTGTGGCCCTCTAGCAAACCAACACTTCTGGGGGTGTCAGTCTCCAGGTCCCCCACAGCTCTCACTGGTTCCTCCTGCTAACCCCTGTGCCAATGCTGAATCCGTTAATGGGTAGAAGTCAGAAGGAGAAGCCATTGAACATTGCTGCGGGGGGAGGGGGGGAGATCAGGGAGATCAACACTCTCAAAAGTGTTGTTTTTCCTTTGGACCTCAGCAGGAGATTTCTCACGAGAATTTGGTGGCGCGGGCATCAGGAAAAGTTGGTGTGTCCTTTCTTCTTTTACAGGTGTGTCTTAAGGTTTTTCTATAGCGTACCCATTTTGAGTTATCATAACATTTACATGTAATTTTTCATGTGGCTTTAAGATTTTTCTTTGCTTGCTGTTCCATAATTTGATTACTGTATTACATATACAGATTTGTAAACGTTCCCTTGAGTGGTCATCTCTCTCTCAGGAAATGTGATCAGCTTAAAGAAAACCAGCACTGATTTACCTCCTAGCTAATAAATGTCACAGATTGATTGTAAAGAGCAACTATAGCTTTATTAGCTTGATGGCTACAACCAAAGTTAAGTAGGGAATGACCTAAAATACAGGGAGCTGCCACCTTTAGTGTGGAGGGGGGTTGAGGAACAGCAGGAGATCTACTATGATCCAATGCACACAGACACTTAAGCAGGGGAGTGTCTTAAGCAGGGGGAGGAGCTTCAGTGAGAGGGGCAGGGTTTAAAGCAAAGCCGTCATAACAGAAACATGGAGGGTGTCATTTACCGACTTCCTGAAATGCTCTTGGCCTGGCTGACATGTTCACCATCCAGTGTTCTGTCGAAATAGCAAGCTTGTCTAGTTGTGCAAGCACGTCACTTCTGGTGACTTGCCAGCAGGAAATTTCGACGACCCGGCTGCATAACGTAAGCCCATAAGAATACTTGTCGAATTGTCCAACTCCTACCAGTAATAAAGCCACTGTATTAGTTTTATATCAGTGCATGTGCACTGGCAGAACTTGGACAACTCGACAATTATTCTTATGGACTTTTTGTTATGCAACCGGGTACACGCGCACGCATGCGCAATACCTCCAACTTGTCCAAATCTCCTGCTGGCAAGTCACCAGAAATGACGCGGTTGCAGATCTCGACGAGTTGCCTATTTTGACAGAACACCGTCCCTAAGTTCTTTGTGAGTCACTGACCTACAACAAGCATGCAGATAAAAACTACTGACGTTTCTGATCTGTGTATTTGTCCAGGTCGGTGATTCAGAAAATGCTGACGCACGTGCACTTTCAGAGGAGGGTCAGCAAAGACAGCTTCCATATTTTTCTCATGACAGGTTGACTTTAATGAGAGTTAAATAGAAATTGTGGGGTGACTTATGCCTTAATGACTGATTATGCATGTCATCTACATTTTCTCCTCGTTCTTTTTTTTTTTCTTTGACTCACTTAACATCAGAAGCGGATTCCCCTAACCGAAAGGTGATTTCCTGCAAGCGGGCTGTGCTGTGGCTGTCACTAGAAATGACAGACCATTTTTCATTTTCATCAGCCTGACTCTAATCTTGCATATATTTCTCATCTTCGAGTCTGATATTAAATTATCATATATTTATCATGTGCCTGGAATGTTAAAGGAGAACATCAGGCATACGAAAATATGCAGCAAATATAATTACCATTTACAGCAGCATTTCCTAATGTTTTAACCCTTAGGAACCCTTGAAATGATTTTTAGGTTCTAAGGGAACCCCTGATGAAAATGAATATATCTGCAGCTCAAGATACGTTAACGCGATAAAGAAAGAAAAAATGTGGCATACGTAGTATATTTGACTCCCACAGCGTATCATTTTTTTACACTCTCCTGCTGTACACAACAAAATTATTGTCAGTAATAATCCTAAAATGTAAAAAATAATAATTAAAAAAAACAGAAAGCAAAACAATGAAATGACGGGAAAGACAATTAAAATGTTTGTGTTTCCTCACACTAGTGCCGCCTTACATTGGCGGTCAGTGGAGAAATGTTCTTTTACATTGATGGTTAGCATAAGAAGAATCCCTAACATTGGTTGTCAGTGGAGACAGTGGCGTCACAAGGGGGGTGTGGCCCGCACCCGTGTGGCACCATTGGAGGGGTGGCACCAAAATGACTGACACTCATTTTGGTGTCACCCCCTCTAAAACATCAGGCACTCGGTCATGGACATGTGTCAGGAGAGAGGAGGGGACCCGGCAGCATACCTCATCCCGCCGGGTGAACGTCCCCTCCTCTCTCTGCCGGCGTCCATCACCAAGATGGCCGCCAGCAGGCGTCAATTAGATGGGCGTGCATGCGCGTGGTGACGTCATGCGTGATGACGTCACCCGGTCTCATCTCTGGATGACACCTGGCCTCAGGACCCCCCTGAGTGGAGAAATGCTATTTTTACATTGGTGGTCAGTAGAAAAAGAGCCTCTTACATTGCTGATCTGTGGAGAAATTCCCTCTTACATTGGTGCACAGTAAGGACGATCCCTCAACATTGGTGGTCAGTGAATAAATGCCGTCTTACATTCGTTGTCAGTAGAAGAGCACCTTGTATTGGTGGACAGTGGCAAAGTGTCTTAAAGCTGCACTCCAGGCACAAAAACTTTAATTTATATATATATATCTATATATATATAGATATCTATCTATCTATATATATATATAGATAGATATATATATATATATCAAACCTACAAAGGATATAAATTCATGTTGTGCGCACCAAAAATCTTTGCACACCTAAATATTACAGAAAGCAGAGTTATGGGTCGAGACCATCAAGTCCACCCGCATCAGAGTGCTTGCAGAAAAATACAAGAGGGGTGGATACAAGACCAGTCACCCTGCACAAGTTGAGAGAGCAGCTGTGACTGGTCTTTATTACAGGAAGCTCCTGTAGAGGTAAAGCACAGGAGTTCTTTTGCTGGATTACTGCACATATGTGGGGGAAATAAACAAAGGACTCCAAGATTCAACTAACAATACACATGTCTCTTGTATTTAGACAATATTTGTTTTGCCTGGTGTTCATCTATGAATTGGGGATCAGTGGACCACCTTTTACATTGGTGGTCAGTGTAGTGGTGACCCCTTTACAATGTATGTGAGTGGAACATTTCTCCCTGAACATTGGTGATGTGCGTAGACGGGAGATCAATCTGCCACACTGAAGGAACTCCTAGCAACCCAAAGGTTCCACAGAACCCTGGTCAAGAAATGCTGATCTACGGTATTTATGAAACTAAATTTGTTTCCTCTCTTCTTGAGGCAAAATATATGGAATGTTCCTCCAATAAGTGTAAATAATAATCTAGTAATTTGTGTTCAGAAATAAAAACACAAAAGGCCATTGTCACCATATATAGATGGCAAGGTCCATTTCTGTACAGCCTCTGCAGGGTTCATACCATATACGTTTTACATAAAAGCGAAGGTTCCATTGAGGTTACTCTGTGACTTTGCTAGCTAAGGGCTAAAGTAGATAGGCGTTGTTTTCCTGCACATCCGTCGCAGTTCAGCACACCCCTGTGGTATAGTGATGATGACAATTATAAGGCTGTTTTGACCTGCTTTGCATTATGTTTGTTTAAATGCAGCAGGTCTTATTGAGATGTGTTTGTATTAGAGGCAAAGTGGTTCAAACGCAGCCATTTACAGCTTTTTGCATTTAAAAACATAATTTTCAGAAGCACTGAATTCACATGCAAAAGACAGTGTTTGACAGTAATGGTTGTCAGCTGAAGCCCCTAGGGTAGTACAAAACTGGTGCCAGCTATCTAGAGTAAAGTTGGTGTCCGATCTTGCGCCCAGGAGGACATAAAGTGCAGTTTGATATTGGCTGGAGGCTGGCTAAAGCTATAGTATTGGTCAGATATCATACCGCTACTGAGTAGGGCCTAAAAGCCTCAATAACAACTCTCGTGGAATCTATATACTGTATGTATCGCCTGTTGAAAAGAGTTGTTAAAATTAGTCAACCTTCCACCGATCCACCAAGAAAGATTCTCCTTCTGCAAATGTGGCTGAAAGCCTGGATTTCCTTATAATTCATAGGGAAACAGCTTGAACTGACCACCATAAGCATAGAGTGGAAACATTTGACAGAGGTTAAGGTTAGGTATG